TGGGCTGTATGTCCAGCAGCAAAGGAAAAGCCGCCGACACAAGGATTGGAGAGGTGATGGTTTTGTTCAGTGCTGGGTGAACGAACTCGAACTTAAATATCTGAGCTCTCCTTTCGAAGTCAGAGTTCTGACTTCTGTGGTCTTGTGCGTTGTGAATGCTGCGGCTTTATATTTCCCATCGAAATACTACTCTGGCGCAGCTCCGTGCTGCACCTGGACAGCTCCAAGGAATATATTTCGAATCACTCAGTGCAACTGGCTTCGTGCAGGAGTTTTCGGTGGTGTACACCAGCCGAGTGCGGCACTCGGAATGCAAACACTTCCTTTGCGTTGTCAATGGGCCGAGAAAGCATGGTTCGATGATAGCCCCGTCGGTTCCAGTCAAGCTTTTGTACACTTACACGTGCACGCCACGAGCTGTAGGCCCTGAACCACATGTCGACAAAGTTTCAGAAGGCCAGACACTTGGCGATTGCTGGGTGGCCCTCGTGCACACATACATTGCGCTTACATCACCGCCGAAACAGGTGATGCGAGACGTCTCCACCACTCTCAAGACTGTCTACAATGCACACTCTGCTATTCTGCTACCCGGCTCGGGGACATTCGCAATGGAGGTCCGGTGCCTTCAGTTTCAACAACATGTGCAGAGCCTTGCACAACTTGCTAGATCGTGGGAAAGACCATGCGGTCGGATTTTGAACATAGCTCACGCTTCAGACCTGAGTTTCGGCTTCGGGCGTGCATGTACCAAGCTCCTATACGGTATACGATAGAAGCCACCGCCAGGCAGTCGCCCGTCATTTTGGAACCAAGCGCAAGTGCCTGGTTCTTCGCAACGGATACTTCTCATATCGATGGTCCCAAATCTTTGAAGCCGGATCTTTACCTGTGATCTTGGCTGCAAGCACGTGCAAGCATGAAGAAGTATGAACAGTATGCATTGTCACAGTTTGCAAAGAACAAAGTGCGTGAGGCAACGGAGAGGGTGCTCAAGGCCCGGCCAGTGGACCCAGCGTCAATGGGCAGTTCTCCTTCGTATGCGCCGCCCCTTCTTCAAGAAGTACTCTCTGTCATCGAAGAGGAACGTCGTTTGCCGAATTTTGTCACAAGCACAGGATAGCACAGAGCCACGTCGAACATTCACTTTCGGTCAAAAGCAGGAGAAGCGCTGACTCAGGTCCGGACACAGTATTTGCACCGCATGTGGAGACATCAGCTGGCATCATGCTGCCGGCGGCTTTGCGGCAGATTATTTGTGGACATCATTGGGTAGCCTCTTGCAGTCTGAGTCAGGGACAGCTGCTTGTTTCGTTGGTGTGGTCATCAGGACGAGTATATACAGGCCGTATCAGAAGCGGTACACAACATCGGGGGATTTCTTGTTCTGGCAGCTCAACTGATCAATTGCAAGATTGCACCGGCAAGTCGTTCTGTGAGTTTGTCCAGCCGACGGCGAGAAAGAACGGAAGTGCCGCCAGCTTAGGACTGCATCGCATCTGGATGCATCTGGGAGCCTTGCATGCAGTGGTGAGGAGGGCGCGCATAGTATGCCAGCAGGCGAGGTCGTGATGGATGACGAAAATCGTAAGGTTGACATGCAGAAGCTTGGTGTGGACGTGCTGATAAATGCGCCACAGAAGGGCTGGTCAGGTCCAGCATCGTCGGGGAACTTCAACAGCAGATTCAGTGCTGTGTTTCTTGAACATTACGAGAATGTGCTGCTTGTATGTATCAGATGTTGCTCGTTGTCAGCTGGGTTGTTTACAGAGTTGCCGATACTGCTTGGAATGTTCTTTGCGGAGACCTGGGCCAATTGACACGAAGCCTGGCGGAATGGGTCAAGGCAGCGATTCGGTGGTGCCGTGATGCTGTTTAAGTCGTGGTCCACAATCTGCTGGCTAGGGATTTGATTTGCCATTGTGCGAGCGCAGACCCGCAAAGAAACTCAGAGCTCCGGCAACATTGCTTGTGTTTGATCATGTGCTGTGGCAACGAAGTGACTGGTCTTGATCCTGTGTGACTGACTTTTTTGGCAAAAAGAGTTGGATGCTGTTGGATGCCCTATAGTAACTTTGTTTCGGAAGGTTGATTAAATAGATGCAGACAAGATGGGCAGCATTGACGACATGTTTGCGGGCGTGTACACGCATTTGTTGATCATTCTTTGCCAGTCCCTTTGCACTGTCCTGTCGAGTCTTTATAGTGTCTGCTTCTTTTCCTTTCCGATCCTGTTTGCTTTTATCTGGCTCTCACTCTCTTTGTCTCGCCCACTCCCTCCATCGAAACGAAGGAAGGCAGCTTGATTTTGATGCTGCATATAGCAGCGGATGCGCTTGAAGCTCCGATGATCTTGCATGCATCGCCAAGCAAGGGGCAACGCCACAAGCAAAAACTTCACAACAGTGGTCCGAATGAAACCGCCTGGGGCGTCAGCTTTTCGGGGAGAAAATCTGGAGGAGGCTTCTTCTGCTGATTCGACATGTGGGGGGGGGGGGGCTTCTCTTCCTCTTTGCCAGACTTTCCCAAGCCTTGTTTTTCCAGCTAGGGGTTAAGGCTCAGAGTTTTGTGTGCTAAGGCTGCTAGCGGTTATGGACTTAAAGGTCGAGATTTGCTCGATGCCGGGACTGTCCCTGAGGATCGTTCTTCTCAGCAGGCGGCATGGCTGCATTTGAGGGCTCAGCTTGTGCGGAGGAAACGGCAGGTCACAGGTGCAGCACGTCTGGTCTTACTGCAAGTCAAGGCATAGGTTTCATCTATTTTCATCTCCACCCGACCACGAACCAAGAACCTCGCCCCTACATCCGAGCGTGAGTTCCGAAAAGGCATCTCCAAGACACCGCTAAGGCGGGCACGGGACCACTTGGACAACACCAGCAGCGAAAGCTTCGCGCTGGATTTGAGAAGGTGGGCCGCCGTCATGGAGGCAGTCGGCATCCATGCAAGGCTATAAGCAGGCAGGCCTACAGAGTTTGAGGATTGGTTACGCACGCTGCTTGGCACGTGGAGAGTGGAATTAACTCAGCGCTACTGCGACAGCTTGTCCAGAGCCCCAGCCACAGGACCACTCGCACTCGCCAACAGCGTTAATCCACAGCACAGTCGCAGAATATATCACGGGCTGTGCTGGCAGGCCTATGAGAATGGCGGCCACATGTATCACACTACAATGCCGACGGATGCCATCACCAGATTTCGCTGGATACTCAGCCGCTGGTGATGCCTTGGGGCCTGAGCCCCAGTCAAAGCACATGGGCGCTGAATGTCTTCAGGCGACGTGCAACAAGAGCTGGCAGCCTATGGTTTTGAGCGCGCACGGCGTGAGCAGGTAAAGCTAGGGGCAGCCTGTCCGCAGCATGTACCAAGGTTGCAGAAGACAGACACGTGACCCTAAGCTTGATTTCGACATCTAAGGATGCCGTGCGTAACATGCTGAAGCGTTACGGTGCCAAGCTGGATCAATTTCTTTGAGCTTCGACAAGCCGGGTGCAGTTCATGAGCATGTTCTCTCGCTCGCAGGCTTCAAGAGCGTAGCTGCGGAAGGATATGCTGCTCCCGGTGTCATTGTCGCCTACACGAAGGATCCAGATATGAAGTCTGGAGCACCTCGGAATTGGACTTTGAAAGGGTCACATCGCATGGCAGTCTAGCATAGTCTCCATCCCTCAGCAACACCAGTTGCATGATAGCAGCCCATTGCCCAGGCCAAATTTGCCGCGTTGGGCATCCAGATCGCTGCTGGAGTGCTCCTTGTTGCAAAAGTGTTGGAGTTGCTCGTGAGCGCGCCTCTAGATCAGAAGGCTTATAAGCTTGTTGTTGCTTGTTTCCGTCCCCTTCCCTGTAGTGACAGTATTTGATGTCTATATGCCTGGCCAAGTCATGGGACGGCTCAAGCCAAGGCCGTTGATGGTAGACGAGTTCACGCAGTCATCAGAGTTTCAGACCTTTCGTCTGGGCTTATTTGGCATCGACAAGTTGCGTTAGCCAGCAGCACAAGTTGTCGGCCGCTGGAACACCAGTGACACTCTTGAGTGGGACCAGGCACAACCGACACGACCACTGCACAGCTCGAGCTGCTTGCTGGCACTGGTTCCGTTGCCGTTGCGTTTGCCCCGTCATGTCTTCTTCCGAAGTGAAGGAGGGCCATTTCCAACATATACCACCGCGCAACTCCCGCCGTGATGTCAGCGCGGCTTTGAGCCTGGAGCCTTTGCTGCACCTACGTGCCGAGGGTTTTCGACAAGCTGTTGCCGTTTTCCGGTATCGTTCATGCATGTGAGGAGCCTGCGAAGCTTTACGCCCTGGAGGTCCTCGTAGGACTCGCTTGGGTCTCGGGGCCTTCACCGTGTGACCGATCGGATCCTCGAAGCTGAGGGTTGAGTCGGCCTCTTTTGGAAGTGTACAGATTGTACCGTGTACAGCAACCTTTGCCTTCTGGATGCTGCGCCCACGATGTACAGATATGAGGGGCCAGTGCCCGTCTGTTCGAGCAAATTCGCACCCACGGCGGGGCTGCGGGGTACGTCTTCAATTGCTGCAATGCAACGCATGCACGCCTTCTGTAACTCTTCTCCTCCTTACGGGCGGTGGGACTGGACTGCACGGTGGAGGGTAAGCTACCTGTAGATGAGTGTACATAGTCAGCAGGTGAATTACCTGCTCCGGCCTCCGAGATTCCCTTCCGCGCAGCCAGCAAATTATACGCGCGCATGCGTAGGTGGGATGCATAAAGAAAGCTCAGCAAGACTTGCAAACGCGGCGCACTCTGGCAACGCAGGTGGAAAACCTGCACACACAAAGGCCAGGCTGGCGCCGCATCAGATTGCGCAAGATCACTCTTTACATGCTTTGCAGAATGCAACAGCCCGCAATTTGTCACGCTAAAGCTTCAAGCCATACGTACATCATTGCCGCGAAATCGAGGCATACAAAGTTGCTTCGTCAGGTGGTTGCACCGCTGACCGACGTCATTGCTCCAAATGCGAGTGCCGCAGACATATGGAGCACAGAGTGCCGCACCTGGTTTCGGAAAGTACATATCCAGAATAGTGGCAAGCACACAGCATGCAGAAACTCTCCAAAGTGTGCCCGAGGGAGTTGCTTCAGTCGCTAAGCGACTCCAACTCTTCAGAGGCGCCGTGTTCGCTACGACTCGACCGTTGCATTTCCACGCGCTGCTTGCATGATCCTGCGCAGCCCCGAACCCTCCCCAGAATCCTGAAGCGCTCTGCGCGGCAAGTCCAATGTGCAGGATTTCATGTCTCAGAGTGTACGCATTTTCTGGTTACTATGCGGGTAGCCACTCTGTGTACCAACATAATTTAACATACGCAGATGTCAGCTTGCAAGTGCGTAATGTAAGTCTGCATGCAGAGCAGAGGACCCTAGCACGAGCATTATGAAAGAAGGCGCTGACAGTGATGCATCTGACACAGCCATGTCTTGCCAGAAGTATCCTTTGAATGATGCCGTTCGTGGCCTGTCGTACAGCGGCCACTTATCATGCAACAGCAGCATTTCACGGCCAGCACCACTTTGCCAAGAAGTGTTCGGGTCCGAGAAAATAGAAAAGCCCCAAGGAGACATTGTAAGACGTGGAAGGGCAAGACGAAACCCTTAAGCGGTTGCATTGTCCATAATTCATACTCCTGGTAAGCATGCACGGTGCAGCCCAGGATTGAGCCTGGAAGATACGTTTACCCAGATCTATGCCACGGGTGCCTGGGGCAAGGGTTCAGGCGCAGGCAGTTTGCCTGTACACTGTCTGAAGTGGATGCTTGGTGCATTCAAGCATAGGCCTGTCATGGCAGCGCTTGTCGAGAACTGTCGGAGTTAAGAGACAGATTATTCGATGACCAAGGATAGAATTTCTACGAAAATTCATCAAGGAGCATCAGGTTAACAGTGTTGTCGACCTGGGCTGCGGCGACTGGCAGTTCTCACCGTACATCTACCACGATCTCGGAGTAGACTACGTGGGGTATGATGTGGTGCTGCCCGTGATCGCTGAGAACCGCGCGCGGTGGACATGTCAAGGGTTCAACTTTGAACATCTGGAGTTTTCTTCGCATGTGGATGAGATTCAAGATGGAGAGCTCTACATACTAAAGGATGTGCTCCAGCACTGGTCTTCACAGCGAATCCGCAGCTTTCTCAAAAAGCTCCTTGCGAAGCCCAGCTTGAGGTTCATCCTCGTATGTAACTGTGCAGAACCGGAGGACTGGCCTGATGAAGATATTTTGGATGGCGGATGGCGTCCTTTGAGTTCGGCGAAGCCACCTCTCAACGAGTTCGATGCGCAACCGTTACTCAGATTCCCATCCCTTCCCAACCTCAAGGAGGTTTGCATCATATTTCCTGCACGCAAGCGGCATGACTTTCCGCAGAAAGCTGTGGCTGCCTGCACAGGAACATTTAGAGCTGGTGTCGTGTGCAACTTCACTGGCCGGCGTGCGATGCATCCGGTTCGAAGGCGAAGGTTCGACATGGTTTAGTCCCAAGCCGCAAAGACCCAGACCTAGAGCAGGCCTGGCAAAAAAAGCGCGTCACCTCAGCAGCGTTCATGCCAGAGTTGGTCATGGAATTATTGTCAATAGAATAAGCTTCACTCCGGGATGACAGCATCAGGTCGTGGGCAAGCCTCGTTGTTCCTGAAGAGCACGTGTGGTAATTATCTAGCGAGTCCGATCGATCGAGTGCAGGAAGTGCTCCAGACCTTCCTCGGCTCGGGCCTTTGGGGAGGGGTGATAATCGGATCTTTCTAGCTGATTCTAGCTTGCTCAATGGCTCAATCTTCAATTCCGTCCACGGCAGCCCTGCAAGCTGCCGTCTCACCAAAGCCTGGCACTGGCAGAACTCATGAAGTCAGTTCGTGGACACTGCCGAGTCCGTTTCAGTCACACTTACACTCTCCGCTACATCAAGCACGCCAGCTAGTCGTTGTGTTTGTTATTTCTGTTGTCCACATCATTCATGCAAGCAGCATCTGTTGCCTGTTCGTAGCTCTCCGGCGTGATGAGTTTGCATGTCCCCCGCGCCACTGGATTCGTTGGGGCCTTATCTCAGGCCTCAGGCACTGACTCTTGGGCGCAGGAGTAAAGCGATACAACTTCGGATGGGCCATGATGAGCCAAGGTTTGTTCCCGATGGGCGATCTCGGGCTGTTCTCCGGCACAGCACGACGCCAGGACTTGTTTGCTGCAAGCCGCGCAATGCTGTAGCACATGCCAGAACTACTGCAACGTTCTCGCTGCAGAGAGTACGAACCACAGATGTGCAAGACATTCTTGTTTATTCCCCTTTTGTGCCTGAGTCTCTAATTTTTCTTGTAATGAAGCGGAGCTTAGGAAAGTCATTGCCAGCAGGGCACGTCAGAGCCAATGGCAAGCTGCAATTTCCGCTCTCGCGGACATCACAGAACAGGACAGAATTCGAGTCTTGGGATTGGGAAAAAAGCCTTCCATGATGCCCATACTGGGCGAGGGTCCCAGTGTCCGTTTGAGAAGGACGTCGAAGCAGACAGCATCGTGTACTGCGCTGCTCTTGGTGCGTTGGACGCTTGGCTACGAGGCATCACGACATAAGACGTGCTTCTTCTGCTCCCTGAAGCATCGAAGGCAGGCGCGTGTTGCGAGTCGTAGCTGGCATCTGAAGAAGCCCGTCGACTGTAGCAGCAAGCTTGAGGAGCGCGCCGTTCGCTGGGAGACAGCACTGGCCCTGGCAACCAGCCTATGAAAATGCTGTCTCTAATTGTTATGGCTTGGCGGGTCGTGCACGCTGCCTCGTGTATGTACTTTTAATTTGATGGTGCGAAATGTCCAGTCGGTCTAGCGCAACACCGAGCAAAACAGTTGGCTTTGCAGACGCAGCATCGTCGGGTGGCCGAGGGTGAGGAAGACACACAGACAGGCATACAGAAGTGGGGGATCGAGAGGGAAAGCCAAGTGACATCCGCGGAATTCGAGCACCTCGACACCACGCAAACCTTGCTCGAGATGCAAACCACGAGACACCGACAATTTTACAATATCGGATATCGCAAGAACCTTTGGGGTGGTGACCGGAAGCCAGGGCAAATCTGCTTTGCTTGTTACCAAACCGTCAGACCGACAATTTTCAACGAGAGGCCAAGCGGGGCTGAGCTGCTCCCCACCATTCCAATCCCTTGCTTGGAAGGCACCACCCAAGCGGCCAAGCGGCGGTCTCGCCTCCCGATGCAGGTTGACCACAGTGACTGTGGAAGGTCAACGAGGGATGTCTCAAAGCCTACCTCGATTTGAATGGGGTTAGTGAAAGACTTTCATAGGCCGCAGTAGCTTTTACTTAGCGGCTAGCTGTAGAAAGTAGAAGACTAAAGCTGAGGGGAACCAAGGGGCGTAGACCTGACTGCTGCACCACAGCCTTCCGTTGTTCGTCACAGAAGGAAGAAGTAGAGCCCAAAGCGGGGTCCGCGCATCCACATACTCTATAGCCTCGCAGAGAACGAGCTAGAGCCAGCGAGGCTGGTGGCTCGGGCAGGCAGGGCTGGGCAAAAGGTGCCAACAAGGTCTTGGTGCAGTGGCACTCCTGCTCCTGCTCATCCAGGATGCAGTCCCGGCTGGTGTGGGCATCCAGGCGTTGTGCCCCCAGGAGGTGCTGGAAGGCCTCGGCGAAGCGTGCACCCAATACGAGCAGTAGCAGTAGTAGCAGTTCGGAGCAGCGCCCTCCACCGAATGGTGCCTAGAAATCTGTCATGGTTATGGTTGAAGAGGGGTGTTCTTGGGACTGGGTTACAGGCTCATTCGGCGGAACGCGGGAAACACCCATCCCCGAAAAGGCGGATGACAGTAGCGCAGACAACTGGGGGACGTGGGGAAGAACCTTTTTGCCCTCGTAAGCGTGACTTATCCCTAGGGTTGTTGCATGTTGTTGCTTCCTGTTGTCGTTTTCTCCTGGCAAGGTCGGTAGGAAGCCGTGTCGCTATACTCTAAAACAATGTGCGGACGCACGAGATGGGGCAGGAAACCTTCCCCGTGTCCGAAAGAAAGAAAGAAAGGGACGGGGAGTGCAGCAGCGACAACCTCTGCCGGACGTGTTGTAGCCTCCAAAAAAATTGAGAGAGAGAGAGAGAGAGACAGCTTATAACCTCATGAGCTGTAAGTGATAAACAAACAGCGCACGGGGGACCAGCACCGGTGTGAGCCCAATGAGGCCGGGGGTTACTTTAGCTTAGAGGTTCGTTGCTCGGGCGACTTGGCCATCATCGACCACAGTTTTCGCACAGTAACCAGACAACCAGTGCGCGCGAGGGGTGCGGCTGTCCGTGCTCCTTTGGCTATGTGGAAGAAGAGAGAGCTTAAGGCCTGTAGAAAGAATGGGAGGGCATGAACATGAGCCCGATGTCGTCTTGCTTTGATACAAACAAGTGGCGGGCATGGGCGGGCTACGATGCGAGAGGAATGGGGAGCCGTCTAGTCATTTAACGCTAGGAAGTGTTGCAAGTCCAAGGGCCAAGATCGCACTGGAGCACGGGTGTGCATGCGTTTTCGGCTCTATGAAACTTGTGCCTCTGAGAAGAGAGCGAGAGAAAGCAAGGACAGCCAAAGCAGTGCCAAAGCCACAAAAGGACCGTGGGACAAGTTTGAGTAGGTGATCCTAACAACTCAGGTTCAACGCATGCAGCGAAGTGCTGTGGAGATCTACGATCATGGGCTGCCACTCGCCCTAATCTGTAGAGGCGTGCTGCAAGTGAAGTTAGGGCTTTTATGCCGTCCGGAAGTGGTTCTAACACCGCTCCGCAGTTGCCAGTTGATTTATCCTTTGCCAAAATGTTTTTGCTGGAATCTAGAACCAGACCTTGGAACTTTGCGAGCTGAAGCCGGGATGCGATGTTGGCGAGGCAGCGGTAAAGACAAGTCACAGTTCGTGACTGGTGTCCGGGTGAAGGCATAGAATCTGGCTGCCGGCACGCGTACACCAAGCACTCTTAAGACGAAAGCCACTCGTGGTTTTCTGGCAAAGCCGGACGAACGCACTACCATGAGCACATCTGGTTTGCCCATGTTTGCCAACAAAAATGCTGTCCAGGGCTTTGAGCCTGATCTGGGAAAGGAACTACGTGGCCCTCACCTGCAAAAAAGCGGGCGAGTGGCAGCGCCTTCTTCGTCTCTTAGCGCCTTGGTTGAAAAGTCAGTTGAATTCTTCTTTGCTTTTGAAGAGCTGAGGCCTGCTGTCCATCACTAACGATCACTGACTCATGTACTAGCAGCACTAGCACCGAACTAAGTCCTGAGCACAAGAAGTTGGAACCGCAGGTGACACTTGGAATCGTCTCAGGTACCACATAGAGTCATAGAGACATAGAGAGTCTAGCGTCCAGGTCCCAGGGTCGCGAGAGTGCATGGCAGAAAGCGGTGTTAAGCACACAGCTCCCGGTTCGTACTATTCACGGCGTAGCGTATCACCAGATTGAATTAATTATACAGGTCAACCGGCACCGAAATCGATGTGAGTTTCGTACCTTGCGGTGCCCTCTTGTGAAGGTTGCTTGACAGAAATTGAATATACGTCCGTACTATTCGCGGTCTAGCATATCACCAGATTGAATTACACAGGTCAACATAGGTCAACCAGCACCGAAATCAATGTGAGTTTTGTGCTCCGCAGTGCCTTCTCGCCTTCTCGTGGAAAGTCGTTCCACGTATCCATGTCGGCTTTACCAGAGGTTTTTTTTCACGTGGCCCGTTTGAAGTTCAGTTCGCTGGGAAACGACGCCCAGAAACATCCGAAGGTCCTCGTATGAGGTGTGAGTTGAGCGACGGCCTCGTGAGCCACATGAGGGCTCCAAGGGCCTCGTAGGGACCGTACAGTAGCAGATGACAACCCGAGACGAGGCATGCCAAGCAAAGCAATCCCGCCCCGGCACAATCCGGGTGGGAGGGGGGGAATCAATGCCGGGAGTGGGATCCCAGACCTCAAACCCACACTGCGACAATTGGACCACAGCAAGAACCGAACCCAAACCAGCACAACCCAAACGGGGTCCAACCGCCACAGAAACCAGCGCCAACGAGTCGAAATCAAGACGAAACCGGAGTGTGTCCAATGCGAACTCGATCCGTGACAAAGTATGGCTGTGAAAGGACACGCGCGGACACTGAATCAGCGGGCACCGATCCGAAACCATCGATACCAATATTGACTCGCTAGATTAAGACGGACCGATTCGAGCGCAAACCGCGGCGGAACGATGTGGAAACGAAGCGGATAGAGTCCAAAACAGAGCCGAAAACCAGGACAGGAAAGAGTCAAGCCGGAAAAGACATGTAGTTTAATTGAGCAGCCTACTTGGCACACACACAGGCGTGCCAGAACGGGAACAAGAAGAAAAACTCACCGAACCAGTGCCGAGCCGCAACAGGCCCGAACACAGACCTCCTGTGGGCCTTGGCGTTGCCCGGAGGTTGGGTCGAATATGACCCCTGTCATAACCTGACGACCTGGATGTCAGACCCAGGGTTTTGGGTAAAACATGCGGCTCCTGGGTAGACCGTATAAAACTTGAGGGGCACCGGGTCTTCAAAATTGATATGGTCGGCCATTTCACCAAAAAGCGATTCAGCGGTTCCCGATTCAGGGCGATGCAAAAGCTAGTGGCAGGATGTGGCAGTTCATGTTGCTGTAAACTTGCTGTGGCAGCTTGGTGCCAAATCTAAACCTGGGGCGTGGCTACACAGTCGACGCAA